CTGATTAGAGACACATGAAATCTCTAATTTTACCGACTCTATGGGGGTGACTTTGATGGGAATACAGAAAAAAATAAAAGAATGCTGGGTAACATTGAAGACACGGACCCAAACTTTTCTGTCACTGGATGCAACATTGATTCCCATCTTTTTGGACCCAAAATCTGCTGAATTACTGTTTGCCATGGTAATTCCCAACTTTTTGGGTCAGCAAAATGGTGAGAAATACCACTTCAGGATGTGCTCTGTGATGAGGAAGCTTGGCTTTGAAATGCAGCCCAGAGGAGGAGCTGATCTCAAAAGGCAGTTCTAGTCCCAACTGGTCATTTTGCTCTCCTTCCTGGCTACCTCAGGACACTACAGGATTTCTCAAACATGCATGAATGATTCAAAGCAAGACTCTGGGCATGTTTTTGATGAGAGGATACCATTATAACATGGTATAAAGCTCAAAAAAGTTGATTATACATAATATTGCCCCTTTAAATTGTAGGACGATGCTTCAGTTGGGACAAAAACAAACAAAAAATATTTACAGGTATATTTATTTATTTATTATTTTATTTTTTAGTTATTTTTGTTTTAAGTTTATTCATTTCTTTAAATACAACATAAATTCAATGTACAATAAAAATACAAATCATAAATGCAATGAAAGGTAGCAGAAGAAGAAAAAATCTTATATTTGCCCCTTTTTCTCAAGTAAATAAATTCAATCAAAAATAGTGTTTAAGCTAATAAAAATAGAAAAGTAAAACAACAAAGGTTTAACTCCTTGAACAACAATTCTTACATTATACATTTACATATGTCATTTACATTGATCTGGCATTTTTAATGTCATCCTCCAGATTATTCCATAATCTCATACCCTGGACTGAAGTAGTCCGTTCCTTCAAACTGTTTCTAAATTTAGGTTTAACAAATATTTCTATCCCCTTGAGATTGTAACAACTCTTAAAAAATTGGTTTGAAGGTAATGTTTTTTATGAACCCTATACATAACTGATAAAATACTATAATCAACCAAATCATAGAACTTCAATAACTTCAACTGATAAAGTAATATATTTAATGGCTGACTGTAATGCTTCCTTGTAATGT